TGTTTCATTTACACATTTGAGTAATCCTTTATCATTAGTGCGTCTACTGTACATCTCCAAAGTTCAAAATGTTCTGTTTCACCTTGTGATGTCATGTAGCGGTAGTTTTCAAGTTAACAGCTACCTTTAGTTCTGTAGGGATTGGCAATTCCAGGGCTGAAATGATCCAAATTAGTCTAATGAAGGTGTATGGAGTTTAAAAACCCAGTGGAGCACTTTGTGTATTACCACATGACATCACAAGGTGGGAAATTGACTTTGCTTTGAAAAATCATCGCCCCTCTCTCTGTACCCACTGCAGTGACCCTCGTCATTTTGGTTGTGTGAATGAAACAAAACAAAACTTTAGATATGTTTTTGATGACCAAACAACATTATAAAAGAAATCAGAAACTGGTGTATGGGGCCTTTAACAAAAAAAATATAATATATATATATATATTTTTTTTTTTCTAGGATCTGTAATGAGTCTAGAACAGTACCTGAAGAAATATAGATTCTTTATTGTCATTTGGCTTCTGTGAGTAGTTATCTGTTGTACAAACAAGAGTACGCAGTGCAGATCTTGGTCAGGAGTACTTAGCTGGAGGATTATCCCCACATGCATGTTTAATTCTGATGGAGGACACAAGAGCACCCAAAGGAAATCCACTATGGACTTAAAGGTTTCCATGCCAGGATTTAAGAACTGTAATTATGAAGGAAAAACCCAATGTAACAGAGTTTGTTACAACACAGATGCAAACAAGTGTGAAGTAAATAGCTTCCCAGAGACCAATCGGCCCTGTGCCTCCAAACTCCTTAGCATGCTAATCTATGTGCGTGTATTTGATCCTTTGGTTAAGCAGCTGTACAGGCCACCAGGATCAATAATGTCACACTGTCCGAGGCCTATTGAAAAACAGTCAAGGCTTTGCTCTGCCAACACTAAAGGTTACAGACGTCCAAATGTGATTACGCGCTCATTTTCGTCGTGAACACAGCGTTTGGGACGTCATCACTGCTTCTTCTGGTTATGTGCACATGTAAGATCAGTAGACAACTCTGGGATAGTGGATTAATGTTATTTATACTGCCATATTATGCAAAATTGACTCATAAGCTTTAAGTCACATTACAATGCTGTTACTTCCTCAAAAAATGCCGGGTTTTGGTTCATTTACACATGTTTGAGTAACCCTTTATTAGTCATTCTACATCTCCAAACCTCAAAATGCTCTGTCCCATCTTGTGATGTCATGAAGTGATATTTTTCAAGTTAACAGCTACCTTTTACCTTTTATTTAGTAGATTCGCAAACATTCCAGGACTGGATTTTTTTCGAACAATTCTGGTGAAGATGTATGGAGTTTAAAAAGAAAGAAAAACACTGTGTATTACCACATGACATCACAAGTTGGAAGACAGTGTTTTCTGTTTGAGAGAAGAATTCAACCTAAATATGCAAAGTTTAATGTTAAACGTTTGTGAATGAAACAAAACACAACTCCAGGTATGTTTATGATAACATAGATCAGAAAATATCTTAAAATGGGCTCTTTAAAAACTGTAGATTACTATATATTTTTCTCAGAGTTATGCCCCTGGGCAGGACTCAAGTTTGAATTTATGGTATAGTACAATACTTATTCTTTTGTGTACATATTTTTGACCATGTCTTTGTCTCATTCTAATTTGGCGTAGTCTTTTGATAATCCTACACAAGCATCTTCCCTGGAATCATGTTGAGATGTTCAAATATTTATTTAATGAAAGGTGCACTATGAACCTTTTAATGGGGAGGGGGAGGCTGGAACCTGCTTGTCTCCATGGATGCGTTACGGCTTTGCCTGGAATGTTCCATAGAAAAGCATTATATCACACATGTTTGTCATGTGCCTGTGGGCAAAGTGAAGGAGGTCTGCAAATTGATTCCCAATTAGGATCAATCCTGTCCACAAGTTCATTTAAAAATGGCTGGATTTACGCTGCTTGTCTCAGTATAGACACATTCTGATGAGTTATCACTTGAGGGATTAATTCAGAAGCAGTTTATCTTTAGTTAATGTTTACATTTTTCTCAACTTTTAACCTTAATTAAACCTTAATAACTCATACAGAACATATTTGTTTTGCATGTTTGAGGTGCACTTATGATTCAGAACTGGGCTGGACTTCTGTGCTCAGTAAAAATAAGCCCAATATATTTAATTGAAGTCTGTTGCAAAAAACATGGGTTAAAAAAATTGAAAGTTGCAGTTATTTTACAAAAATAAAGCTAAATTTCAGAAATAATGCATTTTAGTTCATCTAGTTAATTAAATTCTTTTTTAATTCATTACTTCTCTTAATTACTTGAATCACAACTGAGGCATTCACAGGCACACACACACACACACACACAGAGTACATTTTCAAGAGACTGCAAAGAGATCAATTTCTGGGTTAATGAAATAAATATTTTACTATTAAATTCACTGACACCGACTGCATTTACTTAATAACAATAAACACAGGCTGTCTTTCCTGTACCTCTTCATTCATCGGGTGGGGGAGGGGTGAGCTCTAGTACATTTGGGTTGATTTATGAATGTAAGCGACACAGTATAATGATAGCACATTACATCAGTCAGGCCTCGTCTCTCTGGTCTCTGTTCACGGGGAAATTCAATCTCGTCATGTGGTCGCTTAGAAAGAGCATTTTTTGCCGGTTGACACGAGCAAGCTGTTGCCATGGCAGTCCAGATGAAGCAGGAATGATAATTGTTTCACCATAGCAGTGTGTAAATTATTAAAACCTTGAGGGCAACAATATAAATGCAACTGCAGTGTGCCTTTCTGTTCTGTTGTATATTGGTCTATTTTTTAATCTTGTGCTACAACATTGAGCGATACTTGAGCGTGTTTGCAAGTGCAGTTTTGGGACCTCGGTTTGTCCTTAAGAGTTTTCTACAGAATATTCGGCAGTGTTCATGAATAGTGGAAGAGAGCTTAAGTCATGAATAGTGCAAAGGACAAAACAACAGAGGAAATGGCATTGCTTTGCTCTGGGTATCAAGGCATCTGCTTTTATTAAAGGGCCCATATTAGGTTCTTTTCTGATCCATGTTATAATGTTTCCTCATTAAAAATATACCTGGAGTTGTGTTTTGTTTCATTCACACGTTTAAGCACACAAATCCCACATATTTAGGTTCCACTGTGTTTTAACCTTCACTGGAATCATTTGGATGATTGAAGATTTCAGCCCTGGAGTTGCAAGTCTCTACTAAACAAAAAGTTAAAGGTAGCTGTTCCCTCATCATGACATCACAGGGGGGAACAGAGCATGTTGAGCTTTGGAAATGTAGACAGACTAATAATAAAGGGTTAATCAAACATGTGAATGAAAAAAAAAACAGAACTCCAGGTAGGTTTTTGATGAAGAAACAACATTGCATCATGGCTTAAAGGTCACAAGAGTCAATTTTGCGAAATATAAGACCTTTCATTTTGCTTCTAAAATTCTCACAATTATCATATTTAGTTATTCCAAATTCTAGGAGATTGGTTAGACAGAGGGCCTGTTTACATGAGAACGCTTGCGGGTAAAAACGGCAAAATATTTTATTGTCGGTGACGGTGTTAAGGGGGCTTAAAAGCGCAAAAATGTGAAACCACCCTCCAGAGTGGAAAAGTTGAATACGCTCCGCTGTAGTGTTTCTGTCTATACTGGCCAAGATGCAAAACTCTGGTCAGATCTGCTCACGCCGTGTACGCGTGTACGTCGCATACATCACCACCTAGCATTACTACCAAACCACCTGGCACGCATACCCAATCGAATTCCACACACTTTTGCGTCACTTTATGCACGCAGATTTCCTCTCAAAAATGCTAAACACAGAATAAAAAGTGAAGATGTGACACCACTTTTGCGTCTTCTGTTCAGACCGTCATCATATAACCGTGGCCTAAACCATAGAGTAGCTGCTTCGGGCTTGAGGTGGGTACAACCTGACCAACACTGGAAATAGACAAACATTTACTTTCAAATCGATTCACCTTTTACAGCTCAGATTCCAAAACAGGTTTATAAATGTTTGGATGGAAGGAGAAAACAGAAACAATGGGCAGAAACACAGGGGGAGATGCAGATTTTGTGAAGCATGCCAGGAATCAAAGTCAGTGAGACAAGAGCCAAACAACACTCTGCACTGCACGGTGCATTCATGTGCTGAAATAATTGGCAGTGAAAATGATCGCAGGAGTGTCATCGTCTTTTTCTGTAACTGTTTTGTTTTCTTTTGGCACGATTGGGAAAGGTTAGAAATATAAAAGTAGTATTAAGGCATGTCAAGATGAATCAGTAATCACTAATCATGTTACTGAGGTCACAAAAAAATGAAAAATAATAATCGTGGGAATTTTTTGAAGCAAAATTTCAATTTCATTTCAAGTCTACCAGCACCCCAAATAAACGCTATGAAAATATATATATATTTTTTTTTATTTGGCCGTTTAGTCACATCAGTTTGATTTCATAAAACTGGTCAAAGAGAGGAATGGTTATGAAAGAAAATTGAGGATTTCATGGTTGTTTGGTTCAGATTGTCAATACATTTTGAATAACTGTGACACTTCTGCTCCCTTCTCTTTTCATGTTAACTTATGCTTTGTTTGTTGTTTGTTTGTGTTTTAATTTTAATTTTAACATCTTTCCTATTCTTTACAGTACTTTCAGTTACTTTGTGTATAAATTGTGCTATTCAGGAGGCTTTGCCTCGCCTATAAATTGCAGCACACAATTTCGATAATGGCATCCCTAATCCTCTCGTTTTTATACATTTTACAATTCACAACACTAACACCTTACCATAACATTTGTCATGATTTGTTTTATCCAGAATAATCTTGAATCTTGAAATAAATCTTGAAATAAAATATATAACCCAAGTTGGTTTGCAGTCCACATAGACCTTCATTTAAATATTTGACAGCCATTTCTATTCACCCAAACAAGTCTCAAAGGGCAAAGCATGTACAGTATGTCATGAAGTATTTATTTAGGCAAAAACATAACTTAAAATTTTAATTAGCAAAGCAAGCTGTGCAACCATAACCAAAACTCACTCAGAGCTGCAGCTGTATAATACAATGTCCCACAACAAACTGTAAATGAGTGGTTAAAATGATGAATGTATGAAAAACTGCATACTAAAACTATTTACAAAGTATGTAGTCAATAGTTGAATAATTATAGATTTTATAATATCTTCACAAAAGATGTACAACAGAAATGTACCATTACTTAACAGAATTCATACAGCCTTTAGCCATGGCAATAAATTACAAAAAGTCCTTCACAATATGGCATTCAAATGCAGTTCAACGTAAATTATCAAGATTTCAAACATATTACTGCTTATTTGGTACTAGATGCATAAAGTGTCAGTGAAAAAACAAGCTTGTAGCAGAAATGAAAATATTATACCTACTGTGCCTTAAATAATAGGGAATAATGTTTTTCAAAAAAGTAAACTGGTTTTGTCAAGACCTGTTGCCCAGAGGAAAATATTAACATATCTTTAAATACAGCTGGAAATGCATAATTAAAATGCTCTAGAGGCAAATAAACAACCCTTCAGGAAGACATTTGGTTATAAAAATGTAAATGCTATCGCTAGCTTTGTTTTGGCGAGGAAGACAAAGGAAGATTCCAGCATTAGATATAAAGGTGCACTGTGTAACTTTTCAGCTGTCTCCATGGAATGGGATGAAATTGCTTGTGCTTAAATCCTCCACAGCATAACATCAAACTAGTTTATCTAGCTTTTCCCCAATTAAATGAGAGTTTATTGCTTAAAAATCCCTGGGAAAAAAATGCATTATGGTTCTCTATAAATCTGACCTGTAACTTGGCCTGGTGGTGTCACTTTCTTGTGTAATGCCATACTGTGAAACATTTCAGACAAAGCACTCACATCTCTTTAGAAAAGTGATATAGTGCACCTTCAAATAAGTCTCATTGTCTAAAGGTCCGAAGATGTAGTTGCGCTCATTGACCAGCAGGGTTCTCTAGCACTTGGACTCTTCATACTGTTCCTCCATTGTAGACGGCCTCTTTTTTGAGTTATAATAATAGTCCTCTTCATGATCAGAGTCCTAAACAAAACAATGAAGTTCTGTTAGACACAGAGACAGTCCCAGACATAGAAAAACTACATTAGCAAGATCAATATTTCATAAACTTTCGAGTCCCGCTGTCAGCGGTCAGGACATGTAAAATTTAACATGTGAAACGGATCTGCAGACAAGAGTTTGTGAGTTATTTATGACGAGGACTGAACTGTACCATGAAGCAGAGCTCATAGCACGTGGCTTTCCGCACTGTCTCTCCTGCAGGGGTCGTGGGGTACTCCTCTCTAAATAAATGCAGAGATCAGTAATTAGAATAATGTCTCACAATTACCATGGAAACACATGCTTTTCACACATTATGTAAATTAAGGAATAGTATGGAAAACAGCAGATACTATGGTAAATATGCCTGTACAAAAATAGGAAAGTCTTTTGTACCCATCTTGATGAGAATTATAAAATACGGCTTTGATTTGTGTTCAGTTAAAGATCCAATATTACGCAGAATTGACTTGTGAGATTTAAGCCATGTTAAAATAATGATACCTCAGCTAAAGATACCCATAATTACATTTTGTTTCATTCATTAATGCTTGAGTAATCCTTTATTATTAGTCTATCTACATCTCCTAAGCTCAAAATACTCAGCTTCACCTTGTGATGTCATGTGGTAATTTTCAAGTCAACAGCCACCTTTTAACTTTTGTTCAGTAGACATGGGCAAGTCCAGGGCTGAAATTATCCAAATGAATGTACTGATGGTGTACAGAGTTTAAAAACACAGTGGAGCACTTCTGTATCACAGGCATCACAAGGTAGACCTCAACTGTTTGAGAGAAAAACTCAGCCTAAATATGCAGGGTTTGGGTTAAATAGGGTTAAATATGTGTGAATTTTTGTATGTATTTTTGATGAGGAAACAATGTGATTTTAAACTATGTTTTCCACTGTTTTAATTTTTTGTGTATATTTTAGTACTAGTAGTTTATAGTGGTTAAGTCTCCCACAAGAAAATATCAACGATTACTAGATGTTTTGGCATGTTAATTTTTTACATTAATTTTTTTCCCCAAACATTGCACTCTGATGATTACATTTATTGATTTGATTTATCAATATTTATTTGTTTATTCTTTACTTTGAGTTTAATCTTTAAAGCAAGATAAATTAGGTTGGCTAATTCTTACAAAATAAGTAATTACCACACTCATTTAAACTAGGGCTAAACAATTTAAAAATGTAATTGAGATTTTTCTGACAAGCAATGAAAGTTGCCATTAGATTTCCAGTTTCACATTTGAATAGTCAGATTATGTTGAAGTTCATATTTTAAAGATTTAACACAAAGACTGAAATATGACGTGACAAACTTATGTCAGAATTATATATCATAACTACAGGGTTAGCAGTTTCTATACAGTATAAAACAGGGCATTTTGTGGTTTGTGGAGGAAATTATATTATGTCAAAAATTACAGTGTCTGTCATTTCAAATTGCGATTTCAATAGGAATATGGTTTTAAGCACTTCAGAAATCTGAATATCAACATTCCACCAATATCTCTGCCCCCAGCTGAGACCCTGTGAATGCCTCCAAACCACAAGGCCCTGAGGTAATTTAATAACAAATTTAATAATAGGACTGCTTACAACAAGCTACAGAAATCAAATGTTAATTTAGCCTTAAGCATCATTAAATTAGCAATATAAAGTCTGATCTTATAGCGTCAAAGCCTGCAGTGAAAATGATTGGCCCCAGGAGACTTGAGAGCTGTGATTGGTTGAATAAATCGACTCACCCCTCCGTGACCTCTATGGGTGATCTGAAGGATTTTGATTGGCTGTGTTTCTTCTTGGGACAGAGGATCCGACCAATCAGAAAGAAGGTGAGAAGACCGGAGGGGAGGAGGATGAAAGCCAGCAACAGTGTCACGTCAGAAAATCGAATGCTCTGAGCTGTGGAGAAGAGTCAGATACATGTTAACAAGTCGACTACAGCTTATACCAGCTCTGCATAGCAATAGGGCACCGGTCTCAAATGATTACTCACAGAAGACTGGAATTGAAGAGAAACCCCCAAAGTAGCAATGATACACTACCAGAATGTTTCACCACTATAACAGTTAGAGGATGAATTCTTTGCTTTGTTCTGTTAAGAACAAAGCAATAAAATGTTGGTTTGAAATACATATGGCCTCATCACAAACATACCTGGAGTTGTGTTTTGTTACATTCATACATTTAACACACAAACCTTGCATATTTCTCAAACAGAAAACACTCCTTTCACCTTGTGATGTCATGTGGCAATACAGCAAGAGCTCCATGTGTGTTTTTAAACTCCCTACACCTTCACTAGAGTCATTTGGGTTTCAGCCCTAGAATTGACAATTTTTATTGAACTAAACTGTTAACTTGAAAACTACCTCTTGATGACATCACAAGTTGGAGATATAGACAGACTAGTCAAAAGTGTGAATGAAACAACATAATTCCAGGGATGTTTTTGATGAGGTAACAGCATTAGAACGTGGCTAAAATTTCACAATAGTCAATTTTGCATAATATTGAGTATCAAGTATTTTCTTCAATATTGAAACTGAAGTATCTTGACAACACAGACTGGAACCTATTGTGCAAAGGTTTCTGTGAAAGTAATTATATTCAGCTGACTGATAGAGTGCTGATAAAGGGCTATGGATTGCTAGTGTATGTATGTTTTCTGTACCTTTCAGTGTGACTGTGAGCACAGAGTGGGACGTGACTGCGCCATGTACATCAGGGGGGTTTCTGACGGTGCACGTATAAGTCCCGTTATCTTGGAGCGTGGCGTTAATGAGAGCGATGGAGGCATCACCGCGCGCCGGGCTCCCCTGCCACTTTATACGACCGGTGAACTGCCCCTCCATGGGTGGGAACGCTCGGGATGCGAAGTGGAAAACCTACAGTGGAGACAAAGAACATGGTGTTAAAAGATGATGCCATTAATTTGTTTGACATTTCCATTTGTCTAACTAATACTTTGCAGCTGATGTCATCAACATTCCCCGGGCGTGTGAAGGTAACTGGAAGCACTATTCTGTCTGAAGCGCTGTTACTCAAGTTAGACTAGATGAGCTTTGTTTTTACACAGTCGGACCAGAAAGAGCTGACTTGGTTGGAATTACAACAGGTGAGATGAGGTGAGGTGAGATTTGTGTGCTTAAGCAAATTTCTCTCACATACAATTGCTGTCACAAGCAAGAGAGCATTAGCCAGCAGTTTCTTAGTTTTTTGTTGAAAATGACCTTGAAAAACACCTAAACAGGATCATGATTGCTTCTTTTGATCATATCCTCCTGAAAACGTGTAGTTTAAATCCATTTAAACTACAACATTTTTGGCAGTTTTTACTAATATAAGCTTTGTGTCACCATGGTAACTGTTGGAAGAGTCTGCTAAATAGAGATAGATGTAGAACACCCCCAGCTTGATGTCACTGCAAAGTATGAATACATTGGGTGCATTCAAACTAGATCTGGTTTGATGGTTTGACTCTAGTGCAGTCCTGCTGTAGACTTGGTTGGGTCCAGTTCCAGGTTTAATCTTGATATAGTCCAGGTTTAATTCCAGATTTAGCCCTAATTTTGAAGTGGTATGAGTGCGTCCATTGTTTGATATTTGGACTATGAATCTGTTAACTGAAATCTTAAGTCCCAAGCATGTGCAATGAGTTTTTTTCCTGGACCAATCTAGATTAAGTAATAACTTGTGCCTTGGTGACCTTAGAAATAGAAGGACGTGTGGAAAGCGTTACAGAATATGTTGCCTCAATTCCAGTCAGATCAAACTTAATTAGAGAAAATTATATCATCTCAATATCTGCTGGTTAGTGATAATTATTGACTTAACCTTTTTTAAATGTTATTTTTATAGTTATTTTATTGTACAGTACTCTCATCATCCAACCTCTGAACATTATTTGTAGTTGGCAGCATGTCCCATCAAGGCCAGCATTGACGCATGTTTCTTACAAATAGAAAAAAAAAACAAAGCCAGACGATGCAATGTTCTTCCCCATTAAAAGAGCAGAACAAAATAAAAAATGGTCAGTAATATAGACGACCCACTTCATCGGTACAGGGTGTGATGAAGTCTCGAGTCAGGGCACAGAGTAGTAAATTATGCAGAGTCGGAGTGACGCATTCACACACTCAAAAGCTTATATAAGATTCATAACATTCAAATGTAAGGCCTTTTATTTTTGCCTGAGAGAGAATGTCAGCCACAGCAAAAAGGGCAGCGAGTTCAGCAATATCACAGACAAATATGACTTAGCGGTGACTTGTTATTTCACCTGAGCAGAAAACTGAAAATGGTCTGAGAAAAGGAAACTGAGAAAAATACTTGTGAGGCTTTGGAAAACCTTTGAATATTGTACAAAGAACAAGTCCAGTACTTCATTATCTCAAACTCACCCAGTCCAAAGAAATGCATGGGTTAAGTAACGCTGGGGGTGTTCTGCATGTATGTATGTGGCAGAATGTTCAGAAGTTGCTATGGAAACACAATGCATACATAAGCAAACACTACCAAAAAGTTTTTAAGATTTTCTCAAATCTCAAGAAAAAAATACAAAATAGATTTAAATAGCACATTTTCAGGAGCCTGTGATCAAGACGAGTCTTCATGGCTCTGTTTAGGTGTTTGATGTTGAACAAAAAAGATGAGTCAGAACTGAAAAACTAATAGTAGTAATGCTAGGTATCTTGTGAGTGTAATTTTATGTGAGAGAAACTTGTTTAACAGCACAAATCAGCACACAATCTGCTGTAGTTCAGTTCTTTGTTGTCAGACTGTCTTAAAACAAAGCTCAGATTCGCTTCAGACAGAGCAATGCCTACAGTTAGCATCACACTTCCAGGGGATTTTGATGCATCAGCTGCAAAGTATCAGTAAAGTGTATGTACATTTAATTGTGAATTATATGAGGCTGTGTTAACCCTGTGCCAAGCTGGCCACTGTCCAGGTACATCCCAAACAAAAGTAGGTAAAAATTTATGGTGACGGAGAAGCAGGATTAAATTGCAAGAACATTTTGAATTCTGATATTTTTGATGATTTAACTAGTTAGTTCTGTTATCTAGTAACAGCAAAACTAACAGAAGCTACATGAAGAACAAATAGAGGTTTGACGAGCAGCAAACATACGAGAGCTGTAGATCGATCATGGCTTTACTAAAGATGAGTCACTGAAGAACCCACTGACAGGAATATTGACACAACAAACATTTCACTTTTCTTTTGATGGTTCAGAATCACATAAGCTCCAAGTCGACATTCAAGAAGAAAATGTATCAGTTAAAAGATGAAGAAAATCAGCATTTAAAAAGTGCATTATGTAACTTTGCTTAGACCTGAATGTTCCCCGGTAAAATGCCATTCTGTGTAATTAGTCAGTGCTCAAAAATACCAAGGGTCACCTTTTCACAAATCTGACCTGACCTGGAGGCATCACTTGTTTCTCTTCATGGAGATAGGTAAGTGCAGTGCCATACTTGTGGAACATTCCAGGCAAAGCAATAACAAGCTGACAGCGCACCAGAAAGTTACACAATATACCTTTAAATAGTATAAATAAATTAGATCTTTGAGGCTCTGTAGTAAAGTAAGTCTAAAGTCTAAATGGTGGTGTTTCTTATGAAGGAGGTCTGTGTCCTGCCATGCTTCTTCTTAACTGCAGCTCACTCGGGGCCATTTGAGCAACACGAGACATTAGGAGGCTCTTACAGTATTGGCCGGATAAGATCTCAATGGTCTCAAAGCACAGCAAGGACGATTTATCGATTCCTGGTAAAAACTGCAGATGTTTCTTTGCTGGAACACAACGTTTTTCAAGTGCATTCACGATAAATGACTAACCCATTTTGCTTAATATGAAACTTCCATTTAAATCAAGTCTATGAACTCTCCACCCGTATCCACCCTTAGACTGTAAACTGATAAAACTGGGCAATTCCTCAAATATATCAAAGACTTCTTCTAAGTTTTCTTGTAATTTATTGCATATTTTGTGTATGTGGAATGTGTTGGCTCATTTTAATTAATTGAGGTCTTTTGGTCAAGGTGGTTTAAATCATGTTAGGTGTTTTCACAGCTTGTATGTACGGACATCCTGTATTCACATTTGAGAATGTAAGAACTCAATAAAATGACAGAAGCAGGTTTCTATCTTCAATCCTTGTTCCATTTGCAGTCATCAAAAAGTCCAAGGGGTTTTGTCTAAATCTCTTCAATTGTCTGTATAGAATGGTAGCTTTAATGAGACTGTTTACTATTGTTTTGATTGTTGTGATTGACGCAATTCAAGATTAGCGTGTAATGTTGGCTTCTGTCAAGTCAATCTTTAATAATTTTCCATATTTTAAATGAGACATTGTTGATTGTTGTTAGCGTCAGTTACTTTTTAAACAATGACCAACTGCATTGAGTCACAGATTTGTGCTCAAAATCATAAAATGTGTCATAAAAAGTGTAAAGATAAATGTGTAACGATATTGCCAGGTTTTTCATACAGAGACACACTACTCACCAACAATTTATTCTCAGGACTTTATGCTTTTATATTACAAAGTCAGACTGCGCAGCGTGAGGAAAAAATACTACTTCCTCATAATGATCAATGCCAACTTTCCATAAAAAAACAATATTTTATGTTATTACAAATACAAATAAACAGTATTTTTGAACATTTGGACATTCTGAACATTTGCTGGCAGAAAATTGGCTGCAGACCTCGCAATATAAAAAAGCCAAACTAATCACTGACGATTAAATGAAATGACTGAAAGTGAAAGTGAAACTCGATAAAATGCCCCATTACAAACTCTATAGCCTTACTCCAACACGTGCATGGGGCCACTTTAAAGCAGATTATGTAAAACGCTTGTCTTATTTACTGCCTAAAGCTTTACACACTGAGTACAATGTCAACATCCATATCTGCGAACAGCCGCCCAATAAACTACAGGGCAAACACCGAATCACTCTAACAATCACTGCCTGCTTTATGGCTTTATAACCACAGGGCAGTGAGCAGCATTTTTCAAACAGAGCCATGGGTCGGCTGGCAAAGATAAAACTATCTCCTAATACACCATTATTCATCCACTGTTGAACATTTGAGGGGTGGGCAGAGCTGAGGCGGCAACATGGAGGGGCTAAGAGTCAGAGAATACATCACAGAACGCAGACACCAAAAACTAATGTTAGAGATGCAGTAATTCCTTGGGACTTTTTAAGCAGTCCAGCCAAACACAGCCCAGGAAAACACTGAAGGCTGTTGCTAATTATCTGTTCATTTGCCAGAGCTGTTAATAGGATTCAACAGGAGCAACTGGGTTCAGCCAATATCTTTCCACTTTTATTAAAGGGGTTTCTTAAGGAGAATGGGAAGAGGCCATGGAGTGTCACACTTATTTGAGAATTTACTTAGTAGCTCAACGGGACTACAGTGTCCATTTACTAAACTATAAAGAAAATGAACAGAAATATTTAGTTTTATTCACATTTTTAACAGTATAGGCAATGAAAATGGTGTGTGCTTAAAGGCAAAAAACGAAGATTTTATTGATAAAATGAGTGGTACAGAACAGCATTTGAAGTAGAGAGAGATTTATATATCGGGCCGATATATGCACTTTTCAGAGATTCTCAGCTTTTGATCTTTAAATCTGAAGAGGTCAACATTTTGTTTGCCAACCTGCTGACTAAAGAATATGAATGAAGCTTTATTTGAACACTTTTCTTTGACATTTCTTTGTCAATGTGCAAAACTTGACTACATTGCTCACTTATCCAATTTGTAGTAAAATGTGGTGGTGAATGAGCTTGTAATAAACTCAAACAATGTAATTCCCTAAACATGGGCCCTAAATATCAACAGATCTTATGGATGATTGGC